TATTTATGATATTGCTAATTGATTAGTTTGTTCCTATCTTATTACTGACTGTTTACTTGTCTTTAACACTTTAATATTTGACATTTATATTAATCTAGTTTTTGCTGTGGTATTTGTTTTTAAAGCATGGGCAAAGTTCCTCTTGCAGTGTTCTGTAGGCTGCTGATTTCTGCTCGTGTTATTCAGCTGCAACAGAATGCTTTGTAAAAAGCCAGAATAAATGTTTGACATCTAAATGTTTGACCTCATTTTTTTTATATTGGATTTTTTTATCTTATTGGAATCGAAATTAGGAATCGATAAGCAGAATTGGAATCGGAATCGATAAAATTCAAACGATACCCAACCCTACTCGTGGGCCCTGTGTCTCACCTGGTTGCCCGCTGACGGTAACACTGCTTCATGTTGCCCCGTGTATCATAAGTATAACTCTTACACCGGGTCTACACCGGACACGAGCGACGCGGCGCGACAAAACACTATAGAACCCATTATAATCAGTGATGCTGTCCACACCGGACGCGGCGCGACAAAACACTATAGAACCCATTATAATCAGTGTGCTGTCCACACCGGACGCGGCGCGACAAAACACTATAGAACCCATTATAATCAGTGTGCTGTCCACACCGGACGCGGCGCGACAAAACACTATAGAACCCATTATAATCAGTGTGCTGTCCACACCGGACGCGGCGCGACAAAACACTATAGAACCCATTATAATCAGTGTGCTGTCCACACCGGACGCGGCGCGACAAAACACTATAGAACCCATTATAATCAGTGTGCTGTCCACACCGGACGCGGCGCGACAAAACACTATAGAACCCATTATAATCAGTGTGCTGTCCACACCGGACGCGGCGCGACAAAACACTATAGAACCCATTATAATCAGTGTGCTGTCCACACCGGACGCGGCGCGACAAAACACTATAGAACCCATTATAATCAGTGTGCTGTCCACACCGGACGCGGCGCGACAAAACACTATAGAACCCATTATAATCAGTGTGCTGTCCACACCGGACGCGGCGCGACAAAACACTATAGAACCCATTATAATCAGTGTGCTGTCCACACCGGACGCGGCGCGACAAAACACTATAGAACCCATTATAATCAGTGTGCTGTCCACACCGGACGCGGCGCGACAAAACACTATAGAACCCATTATAATCAGTGTGCTGTCCACACCGGACGCGGCGCGACAAAACACTATAGAACCCATTATAATCAGTGTGCTGTCCACACCGGACGCGGCGCGACAAAACACTATAGAACCCATTATAATCAGTGTGCTGTCCACACCGGACGCGGCGCGACAAAACACTATAGAACCCATTATAATCAGTGTGCTGTCCACACCGGACGCGGCGCGACAAAACACTATAGAACCCATTATAATCAGTGTGCTGTCCACACCGGACGCGGCGCGACAAAACACTATAGAACCCATTATAATCAGTGTGCTGTCCACACCGGACGCGGCGCGACAAAACACTATAGAACCCATTATAATCAGTGTGCTGTCCACACCGGACGCGGCGCGACAAAACACTATAGAACCCATTATAATCAGTGTGCTGTCCACACCGGACGCGGCGCGACAAAACACTATAGAACCCATTATAATCAGTGTGCTGTCCACACCGGACGCGGCGCGACAAAACACTATAGAACCCATTATAATCAGTGTGCTGTCCACACCGGACGCGGCGCGACAAAACACTATAGAACCCATTATAATCAGTGTGCTGTCCACACCGGACGCGGCGCGACAAAACACTATAGAACCCATTATAATCAGTGTGCTGTCCACACCGGACGCGGCGCGACAAAACACTATAGAACCCATTATAATCAGTGTGCTGTCCACACCGGACGCGGCGCGACAAAACACTATAGAACCCATTATAATCAGTGTGCTGTCCACACCGGACGCGGCGCGACAAAACACTATAGAACCCATTATAATCAGTGTGCTGTCCACACCGGACGCGGCGCGACAAAACACTATAGAACCCATTATAATCAGTGTGCTGTCCACACCGGACGCGGCGCGACAAAACACTATAGAACCCATTATAATCAGTGTGCTGTCCACACCGGACGCGGCGCGACAAAACACTATAGAACCCATTATAATCAGTGATGCTGTCCACACCGGCCGCGGCTCGACAAAACACTATAGAACCCATTATAATCAGTGTTGCTGTCACACCGGACGCGCGCGGCAAATTCTCGCCAGTAAACTGCTGCCTCGTTCTGTTGATAACGTACTGACACAGAATTCAAATGATTTGCAACGTCACTTTATCGCGTCCAGTGTAGACAGACTTTAGCTGTTGCGGCACAGAGAGACAACTGTGGCATCCGGTGTAGACACGGTGTTAAGAACAACGATCTCTCCACGTCCCTTAAGAACAATAATAATTATTATTATAACATGTATAAGGCATATGTTATAAGGCAGCACGTATGGATAATAATAATAATAAACAATATAAAGACAGATGAGGGAATGAGGACCTTCAGCAGTCTGATTTCTCTCTCCACGATCTTCCTCACGGTCTCATCTTCCTCCAGAAGCTTCTTCACGGCGACGCTCCTGCCGGTGTCCCGGTGTCGACACTTCAGCACCGTCCCGTAGCTCCCGGAGCCCAGACAGCCCAGAGTCTCGTATTTATTCATCGTTATAGCAGCGCAGAAGCGGAAAAACACACCAACAAACACCAAAACACGAGCGAAGAACCGCTCCACGCTCGAAATATGATCTCATGCGCTTATTAAAGACGCTTTAACGGGATTATTGACGGAAGAATGAGCGGCATATTGATGAGTGCTCGCGCAGCGCGTAAACAACAACACCGTATCCATAGAAACCGCCGCGCGCGCAGAGGCTGTCAATCAAACGCCTGAGAGACGCGTATGGACAACCAATAGCGACAAAACAGCACATTTCTCCCTGTGATCCCATGAGGAGTTACTTCGAAGATTAGTGTGTAATAATTAGCTGATTAACATGCATCTTCACATTGATCTCACATACACTGTGTAAGCATATAGGAAACTCTTTACTATCTGTGTTTGTAAAAGAACAGTCATCCTATAAAGCACAGCTACTGTAGCCTCAACACAACTGACACGTGTGCAGAGATGAGCTCTTTCCAGCACACCACAACACACAAGAGTTTAAATTACATCAAAAAACAACCATCCTTAACACTTAACAGTAACCTATGGGATCAGATTCCCGCCTAATGTACTGCAGACACGGAAAAAAACAATAAGCATGAAACAAATGTAAAAACGCAAGTAAAAAATATATTGCACAAAATATAAAAATGAAAGCAAAGTTTTCAGAATATCACGGATCTAAAAATAATCTGTAAATAAAAAATTGAATAACGCATTGAAAAAAATAAGCATGAATCAAAACTTTAAACATTTAAAATCATGTTGCACAAAACTGAAATATTAATGCAAAGTTATCCGACTTGCACACAAAATCATGTTTTCCTTGGTTATATTTCTCTATTTTTTGTGCTCGCAGACATTTTCTGCTGATATTTGTATTTTTTGTATGCTTATGTTGTTTTCCACTTTCTGCGTGTGCTCTTCCAAATGTTGCAGTTAGTTTCATGTAAATCAGGGCGGGTTTAAGCGTCATCATTGGTCCACTAGTTCTAGATTGACAGCTCCTCCTCAGCCAATCAGATGAAGAGGGCGGTGTTCTGCTCACTTTTACAGGTGAAAATAGATAACTGTCAGCTGGGTTAACACCTTTACTGTCGCGAAGCAGGTGGTGAAATGTGCGATTTATTTCAATTCTATTGAGAAAATACCACTTTAAAATGCCATGGAGAAAGCCGAACATTATCTAAAGACATAAAATAAAAAGACTGATGAAAAGAGAAAACAATCTTGCACTAGCACTAACAATAACATATATTGAAATCTTTTTAAACTACTCATGACCACCTTTACCAGAATTGATCACGTTTCATTGTAGGCTTATTTACTGTGGTAGACTTTATAATAGATACTTTTCCTATAGATTTATATTACAATGGTGGCATGTTGTAGCTGTAGTTTTTCATAACAAATGCTATATAGATTAATGAAGTGTCATTATTGGCCTGGTAATGAATAACAGGTTAGCCTTATTATAACATGCTGTTAAGAACCATCTTCATAAGAACAAGCACAAGTCAGAATCGAGAGCCGTGTGTAAATGTGTGAAAGCCCTTCAGATATTCAGAGATGACACGGACACAATCATTAAGAGCCTGATGAACTTCAGCAAGAAATACATAATATCAATATAAGAAAATGTCAAGTCAGATTGACTTTCCATGGCATGTTGAATTCCTACAAAACTACAGCCTGTGAGTGCCTAATGAATATAAAATACATTATATAACCTGTGCAAACAATTGTTAACTAGGCCATTACTTTATTGCAGTTATGTAATCAACCAACTTTGCATGTGTGGATGATCGCACAAAAGACCATTCTACAAAAATAAATACACTGGTTTAATCAATCTTCAAATAGATCAGGGGCTTAAGCTCCAAAAGCAACGCCACAGGTTCATATGTAAACTGGAAAATATCTATTTTGTTTTTGTTCCAGTGCAAGCAAACTCCCTACAGCAAGACAATGAGATATTAAAGGAATCCGGGTCATAAGAACTAGTTTGACCAACTAGCAGCGAGTCAAGAGGTAATCAGACTGACAAAATAAACCAATCTACCTTTTTATGTAACTGACCTTAAGTGTTGACCAGTCTTCAGCGAAACTAGATGACGAGCTTGTGAGACTAGTCTAAGCAGTTCATGCAACCAACCACAGAAACTGCAGCTATACTGTACTTACAGTGAATCCATGTCTGTGCAGATATCAGCATCCAGTGTTTGACCGACATCATGACCGCCGAGCTGGACAATGAAACCCAGACTCTTCAATAAACACAAGCGAACTCAAAGAGATTGCAGATTTCAGTAGTTTATTGAAAGTTGAAAACACATTCAAACAAAAACCTGCTGAAGCCGACTGAAGTCCAGTCTGAACCCAGAACCAAACGCAGCGGACAGTGTGGCGAGAAACACTTCGGAAATCAATGGAAAGAGCAGCACGATCCAGAAGAGCCATGCAAAGAAAACCAACTCCAGACCAGAACCAATGCGGATTAAACCAGCTCGGATCAGCATCTGTGAACCGCTAACACCTTGACACTCGCGAGACACACACAGACGGGAGAGAGACGAGTTAAGGCACCACCACCGCTTTATTCACTAGGAAAATAAATAAGTGTACACTGAGCACTGATTGATGAAGCGCTGCCGCTCATCCGTTATAAACCGTGAGAGATCAGCTTCTGTTCTAGAGAAAAAAAATATCACACTGTCCTGTTCTTCTTCGCAAAATCATGAGGAGAATACAAAGGAAAGCGCAGATGATCTCGGCGCGGCGTGAGTCTGAGAGTCTTTGAGGGCCGGTCAGAGTCCGAAAGCCAGAGAGAGACACGAGAGAAACAAAACCAATCAGACGAGTAGAGGCCTTCATCAGCGTTCAGCGGCGGGGGCCTGTGAAGCGGCTCTCTCGCCCCGCGCCCATCCCAGCCCTGGAGGACCCCCGGGCCTCTCGCTCACGCCCCAGTCCGTTCCCCAGGGGGCCCCGGGGCCCACGCCGGCCCTCCGCCGCTCCTCTGGTCTCCCGCTCGCGCGCCGCTCTGCTCTTCTTCTCCTCCACGTTCAGACGCACTTCCCCACGGAACATGATGGGCTGCAGGAGACAGGAAAGAGGAAACGCTGACTTCCTGTTCGTTCATCAGCCATTTAATATCATATTAAACAAACCACTGATTCAAAATGTTTCCTGTAATAAGTGACTCCAGTGAACACTGAATCAACCCCGACTTCGTCTGAACTGATTCACAGAAGTGAAAAACAAACGTATTTAACATTCAATTTGGTGCAATTAATTGTGGGAAAAACCCTGCATGCAGTTTCTGATGAACACGATGCAGGACGACTGTGTGATGAAGCCTATTACAATGCAGTTATATCAGCCTAAACAAATTAATATATGAACGCAAATATAGTTTAGCAATATCACACCAGCAAGAGTGCAGTTTTCACCAATATCTGCACAATTGCAAATGAGATATTGATTTTATACAACAGTTCAATAAACAAGCAGTTAATATTGTTGCATTTTAGATGTAATATTGTCAACATTGTCCATTTTGCTTAATTTTCACCAATGGAAATAGTTCTAATGAAAGCCAGAGCAGAACCGAGCATCTCTGATCAACACACCGCGGTGATTCGTTACTGAGTGAATCGAGTGAGTCAATGATTCAGTGATTTATTCATCAAGATGTGATTGTGGCATTTCTCCTTTTGTTTTTAATGAATATAATGAAAGTATGAATATATCCACACAAAACAAATGACCCCCCAAATAAAAACACAGTTTGATGGGGCTAATCAACGTACATTATGATTTAATAATTATAAAATAATTATTTCTGCCATAATTATTATAAACCGCCATTTTACAGAAATAGTGTTTACAGAATAACGTTAAAGTGGGAAAATATTGGTAATTCTGACCTCGCGCTCCTAGTTTTGATTAGAATCATCGCATCTGTTCGCATACGGTCTAGCCGCAGAAGTTCAAATAACTGAACGCATCTGAAGCTCAGATCAGATCAGAAACCTCCGCATACACACATGATCAGAGCTCCACGCAGCTCCCGCACTACTCTCCACTGGAAATGAATGACGTTTGTCAGAATCTAATGTGAGCAGGCCAAACCCCAGCCGCTCCCACGAGCTGTGACGACTCCTCACACAAACCTTGGATCCCAGAATCCTCTGCACCGGCTCAGAGTCATCGAACACGACGAAGCCGAAGTTGGGCAGCCTCCCTCCGACGCCTTTGGTGTTGATCCTCATCTCCACCATGTTCCCAAACGCTGACGGAAACAGAGCGGCATGAAACCACAGACACACACTCATCAGCAGGTCAGAGGTCAGAGGGTAAAGGTCTTACTCATGAAGAACTCTTTCAGCTCGCCCTCGACACACAGAGAGAGACACACACACACACACACAGACACACACACAAACGTGAATATTTCACGTGAATATTTTCAAGTGTCATTATTGAGCACATTCGCAGGGATACACATTCAAGAATGTTTTTTGCGTGTGCATTCTAGGAGTAATTCAATTTGTTGAAATAAAATGCTTGCAGATGCTCATCTGTGTTTAGGGTCACGCACCCTTTCATGAGGTGATTCCCGGACTATGATTTCTGTGATGCTCGGACAGAACCGCAGAATCCAGTCATAAAAACAGAATTTACGCTATAACGTAGAATGTCACAGAATTTGTCAAAGTTTGGATGAATGAATCAAAAGTAGGTCGTTACAGTTAAATCAAATGGCGATATGGACTAGTGTCTGTGAATATTAAGCCGCAGAAAGACTTTAAATATGAATCCTGCATGTTCAGCATGTGTGAGTGAGTGAATGGAGCTTAAGCGCTCTTTATTTCACGCACTGAAGCGCTCGCGGTGACTTCAGTCTCACTACACGAGGACACACACACACACACACACACACACACACACACACGAACACCTCCAGAACTGCTCTGAGAGTCACTTCATCAGCATTTCACCCTTTCCTTTGAGTACCACTATCATCATCGTATCATACACACACAGAAGCGTAAACGTATTCATGACAACCCATCAAAATAAACGTTCGATTTATCTGGAATAAGTCACTTCATCAGCATTTCACCCTTTCCTTTGAGTACCACTATCATCATCGTATCATACACACACAGAAGCGTAAACGTATTCATGACAACCCAATTATGTCAGAAATATATTATTGTGCAGTAGAATGTACGTAATACTACTAACAATAATAGTAAACCACAATTTGATTAAAAGATAAAATAAATTACTGTTTTGTGCCTTCATTTGATAACCAGACAAATCAAAATACACAACACAGAATTTTTGGGGGAAAATTTTTTAATAAATTAAGTTGTTTTTATGCAAATAATATAACATGCTTAAACGCATAATTTAGTAACAATAAAACAGAACGTGAGAAAAACAAAATTCATGAGGTCCAAAAAATTAAATTTTATGTTAAACTTTTAATATATTGATGTTAAATTGTATAAGTTTCATGACTTTAAGTAATTTAACATGCTTTTTGATTAATAAAATTTAATTTAATCATTAAAAAGGATTCCAGAAAAATAAAAATGGAAAGAATAGACTTTGGGAAAAATAAAAAGGGATTTCATATAGCCATACATATTAGTGTTATGATGAAGGAATCACACCTTCACTCATTCTTGTTATTAGAGGATTGATGACTTTGAGTCAACCACAGTCACATGACAGGCTGTTGTCCCCACATGCTTCAAAGCCACCACCATCATGTGCTGTACATGTGGAAGAATTGACAATAAAGCAGACTTGACTTGACTTGAAACTCACCCTTAAAACTGATGTACTGTTTCCCACCCGGAGCCTCTGAGCCGCTGCCGTCTAACAAACAACAACAACAACAATCACATGACAGGAAACCATTCACACTATCAGCCTGTTATTAATCACATGAGTGTGCGTGTGTGTGTGAGTTTGTGTTTGTGAGTGTGCGTGTGTGAGTGTGCGTGAGTTTGTGTGTGCACGTGCGACTGTGAGTGAGTTTGAGTGTGCGTGTTTGAGTGTGTGTGTGCGTGCGAGAGTGCGTGCGTGCTTGAGTGAGTGAGGTGTGTGTGCGCGCGCGCGTGTGTGTGAGTGTGCGTGTGAGCGTGTGTGAGCGTGTGTGCGTGTGAGTGCGCGTGTGTGTGTGTGAGTGTGCGTGCGTGTGTGCGTGAGTGAGAGTGTGTGCGTGCGAGTGCGTGTGAGAGTGCGTGAGTGTGTGCGAGTGAGTGAGTGTGCGTGTGCGAGTGAGTGCGTGTGAGTGAGAGTCAGTGTGCGTGCGTGAGTGTGCGTGTGTGTGAGTGCGTGTGTGAGATTGTGTGTGTGCGTGTGTGCGCGTGTATGAGATTGTGTGTGTGTGTGTGAGATTGTGTGTGTGAGTGTGCGTGTAAGTGCGTCTGTGTGAGATTGTGTGTTTGAGTGTGTGTGTGTGTGTGTGAGAGTGTGTGAG